AAGTGGATGAGGGCGGGACACAATGCTGTTTGATCGTAGTCGACCTCGGATGTACAACAGCTGAAAAGAAGACTGACATTCAGTGTGAAATGCACCTACTCTTATACATAATTGTCCGCTGGTGTTTGTTTAAATAGATAAAAATAGCTAATTGCAGCAAAACGTAGCTAGTCTGAATGGCGTCTTAGCTAACGCTATTGGGTTTCTTGTCATGGCCTGTCACTCACAATAGCTTACAGAATAAATAGCACAAACAACACGGAAGCTGACACAATGCGAGTTATACGCACTAAAGTACATTGTCAGCGTTTTCAAATGAACGAATGAACGCCACTAAATTTTCCCCAAAAAATTGAATGCACGAATGTTTAGCATCGCAAAATATCGTGAAGATTTATGCTCAACACGTTCCTATCTGTAAACTAGTATACATTTGTACGTGCGCTTCTTTTATGATACTGCAAACATCCCTGACTCAGATATATTGGTATAAATATATAATATTATATATATATATATATATTTTCTATGCATCCTGACTGCTTTTGAAAATTTACGACATGTCTGAGAATATCCGTCGGTTACAAAATATCTTGATCTGAAGGTCAACATCCAAGGAAATCTCTTAAATCGTCGCAAAGATGGTTATAAAATTACTTCCTTTCCTTGTATCACGAAATATAAAATTGCCGTCTAGGCATTCAAAAGACAGTCAATGATAATATTAAGCAAACAATTAATGAAACAAGTAACCTGTAGAATGCTGTGTGGGTAATATTTTTAGATATATTTTTGTTGCATTTGCAGCAAATAGTTACCAAACAATGAGAAATCTATAGGATTGAATATACCTCTCAGCTGGCTTCACATGCATAGTTCAAGTCTGCCTAACCGGTGCTTATACAAGGATTTTATTACAGCACCTAGACGGTCTGTGGTTACAGCTTCATGTTCAGTGTAATCGCAAGAAATTAACATTACAATAGACAATCATGAAAGACTGGCAGTCCCATGCCATTAACAGCAACTGAAATTCCCGGGATTGAAACATGTATTTTGAAGTCACTGATGTAGGCAATGAATAACTTCAAGTTGGCATAAAAACGAGGTAGTTTATTTAATCAGTGTTGAACTAGAGGCTAAAATTATAATTAAGTTCGTTGTCATGTAATTTGTTTATTTCAATTTCTTCTGAAGTCAAATAAAATACACTGGTGAAACACGGTTGTAACCATGAGTGAAAGGATGTTTTGGGGGTGTAGTTTACATTGTGTATAGAGTGGTAAGGTTTGGTGTCACATAATTTGTTCATTTCCAACTCTTATGAAGTTACATAGAATTTCACTTCGCTGGAACGTTTTCAAGCATTACGTGTGAATCAAATTTTCACTGTGCTGTGTCTCAATAGAGTATGAGGGAAATGGCATTTTCACTGGAATTTATTTCAGTGAAAAAATGTTTTCAGTGAAAATGAAGTATACCACATTATTACATATGTACTGCAGTTTATTTTGATTCGTCTCTGAAATCAAAATCGGTATTTCCATACCCCATATGCAAACAAAGTTTCAAGAGTAGCGTTTTCGAAACATAGCAGAAATAAACAATATTTAGAAGTAAGATATTTTACCATTGGGGTACATGAATATACTTGCCGAGTGAAATGAAACAACAGTATTGACTAAAACTAATGTGCATATCGCCCATGCAATAATGTTTTCGGTATTTTCACGGTCAATATGAAAATAAACATGGTATAGGTGATCCGCTCCACGAGGATTGCCCTTAAAATCATTTTTCTGTGTGATTTTCAGTGTTTTCACGTATTAGTTCGTCTGTGATTTTTTTGGTTTGGCCG